TTATATCTATTATAATTTAATTATAATTATTAATTTAATAATTTACTATATTACATTATAATATTACTATATGTAATTTCTATTATATATCTTATTTATATAATATATATTTTTATTATTATATAATAATTATATATTTATGTTATAATAATATCTATATTTATATTATTAATTATTTTTATAATATATATTTAACATATATTATATTTATTCTCTCTTATATATATATTTCTATGTATTTTATAATCATAATTGAATAATTATTAGTAATTAGATTTAGTATAGATGATTAGGATATATATTGTATAAATTGCCATTACTACTCAATATATTTATATCAAATACTATATATATGTATTATATTATTAATATTTATAATATATCATATTATAGCACATTATGTATTTTATTATCATTAATGTACTTAATATATTCAGCATATATATTATATGTACATATATTAATTTTTTAATTATACTATAAACATAGTTATATTATATATATTATGAATCATATATATAATATTTATATATGTATAGTCTAATATATTATTTGCATATATATATACATATATATACTATACTTATATTTATATTTATCTACATATTATACTATTCTAACATTATTATAATTACATACATAATATATACAATATTATATCATATCATATAATATATTATTGGACATATATATATGAATCCATATATATCATATATAGATCATATATTACATTATAATATTTATATTAATCTTAACATATTTTATATAGTTTTTATACATATTATCTACATAATATTATATTTAACACTATATATACATATATACATTTATAAATTAGTATAATATCAATTTATTTTTATATAGTACATATATATATCTATATACATAGTTAAATTAATTAATATATATATATATAGTATATATAATTATTAATATATTCATTATACTTTATTACCTTATATATCATATATATATAATTATTATATACATAACATATATATATTATGTTATATTTATTACTATATATATATATATTATACATATATATTTATATATTATATATTCATATATTGTTTTATATATATACATTATATATCATATATATATTAATATATATATATATATACTAATTCGTATATATATATGTATACTATATGCTATATATATATATATATGTTATATGTATGTATATATTGTATATTTTGTTTAAATTATTGTTATATGTATATGGTATATTGTATTATGTATTAATATTAGTTATATAATATTTGGTATTAATATTGTTATATTTCTTATATATATATCTATATATATATATAATAGTTATTATATATATATATATATATATTAATGTATATATATCAATTATTATATATATATTCATATTATTATCTTTGTTTTTTATAATAGTGATGCAGTTTGGAATTTACATTTTAGAACTTAATATGTTATATTCTCTAAATTAAGGTGATTTAATTCTGTATATTATATATACTATTTTAGTATATATATTTTATATATTATTTATATATACAATATATCATATATATATCTATATATCTATATTATATTATATTATCTTATGTTATATTACTTATTTATGTAATATATATAATTATTAGTTTTATATTATAATATTATTAGTTTTTTATATTCTAAGTGCTAAATTATAGTAGACATTGAACGTAGTTTAATGTTTATTCAACTGGTTCCTCTCTAACTAATAAACAAGATTATATATATAGTTCATATTATATTTCTATATTATTATTATATATATATTGTTATATATAATTTATATTATAATATTATATAATAATATTATCTGTATATATATTATGTATATATATATACTGGTATATATATTATTATATATATTTAGTTCATTATATTTATATTATATATATTATAAAATGTTTGGTTTTTATATTTAAGGATTGAGTATATTTGGAATATTCATAATAATTTAGAACTATGTTTATATCATCTAATAGTGTGATTTATATATTAATATTATATGTATATAGTATATTATATATATATTATCTTAATATTATTATATATATATATTATATTAATATATACATATATACTATATATATATATAAATAGGTATTATAATCTATTATATTATTATTTATATTATATATATTATATTAATTTAATTATATAGTATTCGTATTATAATTTTTACGAGGTCATTGAACGTAGTCTTAATATGTTATTTAATCTACCTACATAATAACTGAGATTTGGCCTATATATAAACATACGATTATAATATTTAATATATATATATATATAATATATTATATATAATTATTTATTATCTATATATATATATTATTATCTTGTGTTTTGTAGGATCCAGTTTGGGTATTTATCACTATTGGTGTGTGTGGTGGTGGTTAACTGTGTTTAATTAATGTGGATTCTATAAAAAATATATATTTATATTTAATATATATATATATATATTTTATATTTATTGGTATATTATATATATTTATATTATATATTATTATATATATATATATGTATATATTATATTATATAATTATATTTATTAAGATCATTAGATATATATCTATATTATATATATTTATATTATTATAATATATTATATATATATAATATATATATATATTTATATATTATATCTTATTATATAGTATATTATTATTATATTTATATTTATATATTTATGTATTTTATTTATTATAATATATATATATATATATATATATATATATATATTATATATATATATATAATCATATATAAATGAACCTGTGTTTATCTACTCAACCTAATAAAAATACTTTTATACCTATGATTATATTTGTACACACTAATATACAATTAGAATAGACTATTTATATTTTCACCAAATACCATAATTTCAGATTATATTGACTTAATCATGAGAGAGAGAGATTAAATGCTTAAAAAAAAAAAAAAAAAAAAAAAAATCAATTAATAAAATATTCAAAAAAAGTACAAGCTCTTTTAGCAGATCAGAGGAACTGAATATGCACATTAGTCAGTATATTTCTGTCAACCTGAACTCTTCCGCACTTACCATGTAAAAGGGCATAGTCTTTTGCTTTCGGTACAATTTCACTGATAATTTCATCAGGTAGAGGAAGGGGTATGCAACCTTCTAAAACTCTAGTAGTTTTCTCTTCACATGCAGACTGCTTGAAAAAAAATATATAGGCAATGCTGTAATGGTAACATAAATAATGTATATAAAAAAAATCTTTAAAAAAAACACACAAAAATATATATTCAAAATCCTGTGAGTCCAATGTGATAGTATCCACAGATAAATTCTATAACTGTTATCAAATGACCTTCATAAACTTACATTGCAGACACTTTTGACCTTCTAGCATGAAAAGAAAGGAGAAACTAGTGAAAACATATTACTTGATTTTTTAAAAATATCTCACAAGAGCAATGAGTATCTGCGGACTGCAATAAAAAATAATTATTAATGATGATGACAATGATACTAACAATAATAATAATGATAATAATAATACTGCAACTACTAGAAAAAAATACTGATAATGATATGATGATGATGATGATGATGATGATGATGATGATGATGATGATGATGATGATGATGATGATGATGATGATGATGATGATGATGATGATGATGATGATGGATGGGTGATGGTGAGTGGCGGTGACAGTGACGGTGACAGTGACGGTGACAGTGACAGTGACAGGTGATGGGTGACAGTGACAGTGACGGTGACAATGACGATGGTTGATGATGATGATGATGATGATGATGATGATGATGATGATGATGATGATGATGACAATAACAGCATTAATAACAATATCTACTGCTGGGGTTCCCAACCTAAAATTTGTCCTTCATCCACCAAAAGAGGCAATAAATGGCTTGCATTAAAACCTTATTAGACAACAGATCCACAGGGTCCTCTAACACTGATAAGCAATATTTTGTAAGGATTAACATGCTAGAGATTTTGATGAAGTGGCCATGGTATTGCTGAATTCCTTACTGCACAAGAATAGATTATACAATTGTAGCCTTATCTTTTAATATTCTTAACCTGTCAGTACTGACTTGGGCATTCTTTATGCCCATTTTCTGAGTCTTTCTCCATTTCCATGCACTTTTATTCTGCACACTATCCTTTTTTTTTACGTTACCACAATCATTCTAACATTTTTTTTGCTAGATTTCCTTCTTTCTTAGGACATAACTTTTTTCCATAACAATATTAAGAAAGATGCTTGATAACAGTTTCAGAGATGCAATAAGATATAAAATATATGAAATTTCTATCAATTCTCCCTTGTTTTAATCATTACCGCAATCCATAGAACTGGTTGCCGGAAGGTGAAGCAAACTCTAGGCTAGACCAGGCTAAGCTAGGCTGAGCTATATTCGGTTAGGATGGTCTGTTTCACACAAGACTGGAGAGGTGGAGTCATATCCTGGAAATGGCTCATCGACATCTGTTCAATTCACTTATCAGAACTTATCAGGAAAGGTATATTTCTATCTCTAAAGACTACGAGGGTAAGTTATTGAAAATTACATTAATTCAAGTATAATGTCAATGAGAATGTATGTAACAGGTAAACCTAGTTATCTGATCTTATCTAATCTCTCTCTTTCTCTCTCTCTCCCTCTCTCTTTCTCTCCCTCTGTCTCTCTCTGTGTCTCTGTCTGTGTCAGTCTCTGTCTCTCTATCTATCTTTCTCTCTTTCTCTCCTTCCTCCCTCCCTCCCTCCTCCCTCCTCCCTCTCTCCTCTCTCTACCTCTACCTGTCTAACTCTCTATGTCTCTTCCTCTACTTCCCCACTTCTCTAAATCTCCCTCCCTCTACTTCTGTCTCTCTCTACTCCTACTTCTCTATTCCTCTCTCCCTCTACCTCTCTATCTCTCTCTCTACTCTCTCTCCCTCTTTCTCTCTCTACTTCTACCTCTCTTTCTCTCTCTCTAT